GGTCACAACAGCCTGCTTTTTACCTTCCAGTTGCAAAATACTATCCACTTTTGGCGTAGCGAAAAATGCTTCCACTTCTTTGTCGCAAGCAGAGATGAACTCATTTGTAGTAGCACCGCAGCACGAACGCCAGCTTGCTTTGCAGACGCAATAAGTAATCACCCAAAAGAGATGAACATGACTAATAAACAAGGCCTGCTAGAGCACATGTAGAAGACTAGAAGTGACAAAGAAAGAAAAACCCGAAGCGTCGTAGCTGTCAACACCTTTTCCGAAAAAAGAAAAGTGCTAAAAAAGAAAATTCCTCGCGGTTAGTTTTCTGCTTCCAGGTCTCAGCTTTTCCATGCTCATGCTTCCTGCTCCGCAACTCTCGCTCTGCCTCGCTGACCTTGCCCTCCCGTGTTGCCCTCGCCTCTGCGCTTGTAAACCTGCAGCGTCGGTGTTTCAACAAAAAGAAAAGAAAGTAGCCCTTTTGTTGTTGTTTTTTTTCCTCCGCACTGTCGCGCGCCTTCCGAGAAGCAAAGCATCCGTTCGCTTTGTCGTCTGCTTGCGCACCGCTCCGGTGGTCGTGAGGGATTTCAGAACATGAGTTCATAGTATAGAGGCGTTTCTAATATAACTCTAAATATAACTAAACTAACACTCGTTATTCTAAAAATCTTGGTATTCTGAAGTACACAGTAGGGAAATAATTTTACATCGAAACTATTGGCAGTCGGCACGAGATTTTTTTAAAGTTCGTTAATCTGAAAAGTTTGTTAATGTCAGGAGGTTTGTTCTACCGAGATTTCACTGGAACTCTTGAAAACTGCATGCACCAAACGGATTCCTAATTTATGCCTACCTTTGGCAGAAACATGCCATATAGCATTGCAGTAAGGATAAATGACGCAGTTGTAACCACATGTCTGCGGCGGATAGCTATGCTATTGCAACAAAGTTGCCAATTAAAATGAAATCGTTCAATTTCGATGGAGGCGCAAATACTGTAGGCCTGTGTGCTTAGATTTGGGTGCACGTTAACTCCAGGTGGTCTAAATTTCCAGAGCCCTCCACTACGGCATCTTTCGTATTCATTTGGTGGTTTTGGACGTTCAACCCCACATATCAAAGTGAAATCATTCGATATCTAGACTGAAGAAACGGTATTTATGCCCGTGACATACTCATGACCTCCATGACTCACGAGGAAAAAAATAATGCGATACGATCACGTTGCTCGAGCAGCCGCTATGTTTGTTTTGATATACTGCACTGTTACAGGGACAGCCGCCTGTTCGTTGACAAGTTGTCATCCTGCAGCAACAAGCTACCAACTCGTACCCAAATAATTATTTAATAAAAGGTCACAATCATTGCGGCATTTTTTCTTTTTTCGCCATTGTGAAAGGTGGTGGTGGGCTTTGAGGTTGTCTGTGTGAGTGCCACTTCACCATGAAGCGATACACAAGTTTTACTGCGCGTTTAAGCTGAAGGTGGTTTGTTGCGCACTGGCGGCGGTCATTTTGGTGTTGACAAAATTTTAATTACACTCTGGAGGAATTGGTGTGAGAAGCTCATGGCTACCAAGAGCTCGCGGCAGGCTTTCCACGAGACCACAACTGGGAAGTTCCCCAACGTCGAGAGGGCAGTCCTTGAACACATGAGGGACATGTGCAAAGACAGTTGTGTGGTTTGGTTAGACATGATACGGACGCAGGCATGCAAAATAGGCACGCTAAAGCCCCAAAGAACTTCCGCACTAGTTGCGGCTGAACGACCCGCTTCATGCGGCAGAATGGACTGTCGTTGAGGCGGCAGGCGTCGTACCAGTGACTCCCATCCGCATACGAAGACAAAGTTATTGACTTTCACTAATTCATCATGACGGCAGGCAAGAAGAATGGCTTCTTGTTGTCGCACATAGGCAATGCAGACTAAACTCTGTTGATATTCGGCATGCCTCAAAGCATCATTGTCATCGAGAAAGCGGCGTGAAGTGTCCTCGTAAAAACTTGAGAAGCAGCAATGCACTGTGACGCTCGGCAAATGGCCGGAAGCTGCTGCCGTACATTAATCTTAGGCGGAAAACTATTCTGCAGGAAAGCTTTTCCCGTGGGATGCATATCCGTACTCAAGCAAAAGGGTGGATGACTACTGAGCTCATGGCAGACTGGATAAAGACGTGGGGACGATTAGTGGAATGCTTCGCTTCCTTCACTTTGTGTGCTGGATAGCTTTTGAGGCTATCTCATCGACAATGTCTGTGATAAACTTAAGAAGCAGTGCCCAGAGATTGCTGTAATCTCTGTGGCCTAGCGTCACTGCTGCAACCTCTGGACGTGTCACCGAACAAATTGTTCAACGACGCTTGGAGGCTCTATGCAGAGTGGTTGGTGTCAGGTGACCATGATTTCATTCCAAGTGTGAAAATCAAGAGACTGTCTGTTGAAGTACGCTGCTCTTGGATTGTCAAAGTGTGGAGTGGAATCTTTGACAAGGTGATTTCCAACAGTTTCAAGAAGGCGGGCATATAGAATGTGCTCGGCAGTAAAGAAGGTGACTTTGGAACTAGGAAGATGACACTGTTGATTCCAACAGGGAATCATGTGGCATTGACACTGAGGTTCAGACTCTGAAAGAGAGTTAAAGTGTCAGTGAATGAAAAAAATAAAAGGGCAATGTGCAATGCATGTAGTTCCTCTGTAATGTGTGTGTTTATTACAAAGGTAAGCTTTACTTCACTTTTTTATTTTTGGTTATATTGATGACAACTATCGTGAGAATTCCGATTCGTGTTCTCATTTTATTTTCCGGAAATATTGTTCCCGTGTACTGTTCACTTCCTGAAATTTGTGTTTTTTTATTTTAATGTGCTTTCATTATGCGAGTAAATACATTAAGTGCCACTGATGCACGTCAAGATGAAACCTACAATACTCCTGCAAAAGCTTTGATGAAGCAGATTCATCTCTCTGTAGGAGAAGACAGCTGAGGCCTGTGGTAAAGTGCATGTGTTTCTCCTGGCTCGCATGTGCTTATGCTCTCCTCGTCTCACAGATGCAAAACAATTTTCAGGCTTGCACACTATGCTAAAAGCAGAGAATTTGTTGTAAAAGCAATGAGTTGTACAGTGTATTGGAACGGAACAAAAACCAAAAACGAAAAAAAAAAGAAAAAAAAATGACTGGAACGAAAACAATACCAGAACGCTATCTACAGTTGAACAAGGTTATATCCAACTCATATGTATCGAATTTTCAGGTATAATCAAGTCGCAAGTTATCCCCATGAAATTCCTTAGTATATAAATTAGCACGTTTATATTCAACGGTATTTTCACCCATCTTCAGGTATATCAAATGCCACGCAAATTAAAGGTCAGCATCCAGAAGTGCAAGACTTCTGACTTTGCGACAAAGCTGAAGGCTATTCAGCATGTCGAGGCAGGTGAGAAATGTTCTACCCTTGTGGACGACTTCGGGATACCACAAAGCACTTTGAGTACCTTGTTGAAGAAGAAAGCTGATATCCAGGCAAAGGTGGCGGAGCAACGAACATTGGTAGCCTGTCATGTGCGTGCTTCTGCCCACGGGAATGTAGAAAAGACACTCTATGCCTGGCTTTTTCAAAATGCGCGCAAAGAACATTCTTATGAATGGCTTGAAGCTGATCGCCACGGCCAAATGGTTTGCCACTGCACTCATTCAAACAACTTTGGCGACAACAGTCGGTCGCTTCAGGGATTTAAGCATTGCTACAGCATCATTGGCAAAAAACGAAAGCGAAGCTGTCAGCAGCCAGGACATCAAGCAGTGGATGAGAAAGGAGTGGCCGGGAATCTCGGTGAAGCTTTCTCTTGCGAGATCTTCAATACCTGGTGGGACGTAAAGACGAACACAGTGGTCAACTGCTTCCGCAAGGCAGGCTTCGAGACGGCAGAACTTGCGGAAACCGATGAAGATGACAATGACGAGCGCATAGACGATGCATATCACGAGATGTCCTGCTTCCCGGCAGCAGTTCCACACGAAGTGTCTGTAGTTAACTTCGTGGAAGCGGACTGCAATGTCTAGGTTGACAGCTCATGTTACGAGGAGGATCGTCCGGACGAGGGGCTGGCTACACCCGCGTACTGCGCCGCTGAAGTTGCGGCAGCATTCAGCATCATTGATCGTTGTACCTATTGGCCACATGGAGGGAACCGGGCTGTCGCACCTGGACAGCCTTGATAAAATCAAGACTAGTGTCTAAACATTTCAAAAACGAAGAAGCAGGCCAAGATTAGCGATTTTTTTCACGCAAATAAATCATTCTGTTGCAGCGTGTGTGCGGAATTAGTTGTAATTTTTGAATGCACCTATTTTAGATGATGATCCATAACAGGTATGCTCTCGGGGCTTCCATTTTTATATATGGAATTATTCCTATACCAAACTAATTTGCGATACTCTTCAAGTTCGATATATTCGTGTTCAACTGTATTACGTATTTCGTTCCAGAGTGAAATTGGAATTTTTTATCGTTTTTCGCTCCACGCGGAAACTTGGCAATCTGGAACAACCGAGATCATTCAAAGGGAGCAATAATGCACATCTAAGAGTGCAGTGCTGGCACGTATCTCAGGCATTAATTTAAAAGTAAAGATGTGTTCTAATTATCGAAAAATAAAAAACAAAACAACTAAAGATCATTGTATTGACTCATTCGGACTTTGTGTGCCTCTGATGGTAGCGTCCATAAAGCACTCTCGGCACAGAAGTTTGCTTTATATAAACAGTGGTCTCGCATATCAGAAGACAGTAAATGAATGAGACCACTTGCTCCATTTATTTTCACATTTTGCTGCTGCACTATGCCTCATGTTGCCTCATGTGCAATACTTGGCTATTTGCCACATGCTTGGCACGAGCTTCATAAAATTGCCGCTGTACTCAGGAACTCTAAAAACCATTTTTACAGATGATGTGTACGCATGTTCAGAAGATTCCTCATCAGCAATGCACTGCTTGTCACCGCAGGTGATGTACCTAGGTGTGCGCAACGTAGTACTGGCGCTATGGGCCCTGCGGCCCCAGGAGTGGCTGGACATGACTCGGGTGTCACGGCACCTTCTGTGCCGGGGCCTAGCTCGCATCCGGTGCCTGTTGGAGGCACACAGGATCCTCCGGTTCTTCACCGCGCGAGGTCTCGTCAATCACGGCACACTGCCCTCGCCACGTAGCTCTCCGCCGCTGCCGCTGTCATCTCAGCAGGTGAGACGCACTGCAGTCACTTTGGCCCCACCTGTCTCCTGGTGCATTCAGTAGGATTGTGCGAATGCTTCGAATATTACTGCATGATTATTAAAAGTTAATATTACTATATTGGAATTCACTTCGGTCTGAATTGAAGCTGCAAAATAATAATGACACCGACCAAGGCAAAGTACTCAAAAACTAAAAGGATGTCTCAGCTACGTCTTTTTTAGTTTTTTGTTCACAAACGTTGTAGACTGCGCCGTTTGCGATCATTGTGAGCAAGGCTCCCGTCTAGAGAGCCGAAACGTCTCTTTAGTTTTTGTGTATTTTGCCTTGGTTGGCATCTTTGTTATTTTGCACCATGTCTGTACCCAACCAAACGGGATTCCCTCATACTTTTAACGATTCGAATTCCAATTGTTGAAATTTCGAAGTGTTCCAAATGAACGAATAGGGGTATATCAGTCTGCATTTAATCCTCTGTAAAGGTGGTTTCACTGCAGTGAAGGGGTGCTAAATGGTGAAAAGTGAAAACATCTAGTTATTGAAAATCCACACTGCCGCGAATCCCCACTTCAAGGTTAAATGAACATATCACTCTCACATCGATTCATCAATTTTGATGTTTAAAAGCTTGTTATACTGGCTTACATGCTCTAGGTATAGTAAACATTGACACATAACATGTTTTACAGGTTTATCACTTGTATTCTACCAAAGGTCAAATCCTGCTCTAGTCAAAGTTGTTTCCACTTCCGTTGAAGTAAAAAAAAAGTCATTTGCATGGGCCTTCTTTCAATGCTTAGGAAATATTGTGAAGGTTAGTTGGGTCATGACAATTATGCAAATTTTTCTTTATAATATGTGATATAGCTATTTGAATTCAATTCGAAATGTTATTTGACCAAAGTCACTATTTGCTTCAAACCAAAATTTACTACTCACACGAGCCTAGCATTTAGTTTTGGCCCATCTAGTTTTGCACCCATAAGCATTCTCAACACTGCTTTACTTTTCCCAACTGCTTTCCTGGAATAGTTGTCTTGCGGCGCAAGCCACAATCTCGAAAAAGGATAGGCCTATGCTACCAGCCGAGCACACCCGAACATGCTCTGCGTTTCTGTACCGTGACTGCAACGGAAGGCGAGCAAAGTGCACGGCCGGTTCACTCAGAAATTGAGACAGCGGCAATTCCCCTTTCTACGGCAAGACACCACCAGTATGATTTGGCCCTCTGGCAATGTGACATTATCTGGTCGCTTCAAGGAGCAGAGTTGCACCTCTTAAATGTTTCTTCCTCCGTGGTCCCAATGCAGTCCTCTGATTTGAATACCGTGAGCAAGGCCCACTGTGCAGTGACCCAAGTTAAGATATTGTAACGGGAAGTATTTAATAAGTCAACGTGGTTGGGTTAACACTGCACACAGCGCACAACAGCTCAGACACAGCCCCACAACAACAGCGTCGTCTTCATCCATTCTGTATCATTTTGGCGCCTATGCCTGAGGTACCTTTTTGTACCCGTGACATTACCTCGGGCGGCAAAGCATTGTCCTGGTGCGTGCTGTTGTTATATGGACGTGTCAGTGTGGTAGGGCTTGAGGCGAGAAACGTGCGCAATGTCATTTCTGGATGTAACAGTCGACATTGTAGTCGGGAAAGTTTCATAGGCAACAGGCGTCATCTGGCACATGACTTTCCGTCCACCTCTTCAAACACTCAAGATGCCATCTCCCATGCTCTCATTGCGCGTACAGTAGCCCGCACCTGGTTCTCATCGCCCCAGAGTGCACAAAAGTTGCTCAATGACAGCCAACATAGGGATGTTCATTTTCCTCCGGATGTGGACGTGTAATACAAACAGAATAGAATATCCTTACGTTCTGGCGATGCTTCCTTGTTGACTGTATGAGCGAGACGATGTGGTTCTTTGCAAGCTGTGTGTGGTAATGGTTGGTGCCTTTCCCTGTGCAGAAGCGTGTGCTGGTTGTGGGTGCGGGCCCTGCTGGCCTGTCAGCAGCACGGCATCTGCACCGGCTGGGCATGCAGGTGACAGTGCTTGAGGCCTCCGACCGTATCGGGGGCCGAGTGCGGGACGACACATCCTTTGGTGTGTGCGTTGGCATGGGTGCCCACATCGTCACGGGCGTCACCAACAGGTGCAATGATTTCTCCAATTCTTCTTTGACAGGTGCAAAGTTGTGGGGAGAAATAGAAATCGGCTTACACGCGAGATTATAGAAGTAGGGGGGCATCGAAAAGATGGGTGAAAAGTATATCAGCATGCCATCTATCACGCTGACAAAAAAAAAGTTTGATTTCCTTGGTGTCATAAAGTTGCCTAGTGACGTTCTTGCTACTTCAGTGACTGAACTCAATTTGTTCACGGGCAACCAGGGTTGCGTTAAAGCCTGCACACAAAATTGCTTGGCTCTAACCAAGCAATTCGCATTCATGTACCATAATTACTCACGTAATGAACCCACTTTTTTTCTCGAAAAATCGAAGCAAAGTTAGGGGGTGTGTTTATTATGTGGGGTAAATTTTATGATAACTTTTTCAGAAGGAGTAAAAAATGCAATAATCAAAAAAAAAAGTTAGCTCGCTTAGTCTTTTACAATTGTCATCAACACAAACAGTGACTATTTGAAAAGTAAGAAATCGCCATGCTTTTGTGCAAAAAATAAAAAGAAGACCTTAATTTTAGGTCTGGTGGTACCATGCCGCCATTTTCTTAAGGGGTGGGTGCCCTCCCAAGCAACTACAACTTCGTTTTGCCGAGCGCCAGGCCATAAGTGCACTTGTACCTATTTAACCAGCAGGTACCTGGTGGCAGCAATTCTCTGCCTCCCACAGCAACGGCGGATGCTCAATTACCATATCTACTCACGTAAATCTAAAAAAATCACAGGAAAGTTTGGGGTGCAGTTATTATGCAGGGCAGATTTTATGAAAGCTGTTTCAGGATGAGCGAAAAATACGGTAATGCAAAAAAAAGTTAGGTCAATTAGCCTTTCCCCAATGACATACGCATACACTGTTTGGAAACAGCTTCTTCGTTGCACTTTACTACTCATCTTCAGTGGTTGATGGCACTATCTTCTGCAAGCTGTTCCCGGGTCGCTCGCACCCGCCATAAAAGCGTTTTCCGGCTATCTTTTCTTGCAATCGTTTAACTGCAATATCTGCTGTGATCTTGAGGGGCGCCCAAAAGCGTGCACTACGACGCAATTTGCCAACTTCACGACGACTGTTACGATGTTGTTAACATTGTAGAAAGTAACCGACATTATAGCAAGCAACCCCCGAAGCATGAAAACAGACTGTCGATAAGATTACAACATACGGCCGCCGCCTTGCTTCTGCATGAGAAGCTTCTCTACGCATGAATAACAAAGGAAGAGACATGAGGGGTGCTACCATGTTGCGGAAATCGTCATGAACTTTTCTGGACGACAAGCGATTTTTTTTCCTCGAAAAATCTGCGACGCGATAGCAATGAATGACCCTTCGCGACAGCAAATCCTGTCGTCGTCGCTCGAAAATGACGTGCATGTTTTCGTATTCGCTGGAAGCGACGTACCGCCGGTTGGTGAAGACAGTTTCGTGACCTTTGCTCGTTGTGTGCTTAACAGCTGCGATGTCTCTACAATCGCACTGTTCGTGAACCCTGCTGTGGCGCACAGATAAGACGAGGGACGTGCCGCGCACAGATAGAAAGAAAATCAATGCGGCACACGGCAGCGGGCGAAAGGAAGGTGGGAGGGAGCTAGCCGAGATGGCCGAGGTGGGGGTCGGCCAAATGATGAAAAACGGAAGAGATTCAACGGGTGAGGAGGCACCAGGTGTCAGTTAGTGGGACTGCAGCGGATAAATGTGGGAGGTGTGTTTGTTACGCGGGGGAAAAAATAAATTCAAATTTTAATGACTGAAATTGGGAGTGCACTTATTATATGAGTGCATTCATTACGCGAGTAAGTACGGTATTTGGTAAAGCCATCTTTATTTTTATTGCGTGCAATACAAGCAGAATTGCATTGTGATATAAGTTGGCAGCTGTACAGAGCAGCTTCCTAAAGATTTTTGTGCATTGGAAGCAATTTTGCATTGTGATATTTGGTAAACATGTCTTTATTTTTATTGTATACAATACAAGCAGATTACTATTGTTTTATGTTTTTTTTGTGTGTGAAAAAATGTAAAACCTTTGAAAGCACTGGTTCAAGATTTTCGGCGCGAAAAAAAAAAGTTGACCTATCGAAGAGGGTCTTGAAAATTATTTATTCTAAGGTTACCCCGCATTGCCCAAAGGCGTTACAGCAGGGGGGTTACAGAAACGACATAAACAATTCTTCATTCTTACAGCACACTTGCATGACAGACAATCCATTCCACTCTTTAACAGTTCTAACAAAAAATAATTCGCAAACAGGGCGTTACAGAAACGACATAAACAATTCTTCGTTCTTACAGCACACTTGCATGGCAGACAATCCATTCCACTGTTTAACAGTTCTAACAAAAAATAATTCGCGAACAGGGGGTTACAGAAACGACATAAACAATTCTTCGTTCTTACAGCACACTTGCATGGCGGGCAATGCATTTCACTCTTTAACAGTTCTAACATAAATTGAATTCGTGAACAGGTTCGTCCTGGTGCGTAATTCTCTTATTTTAAAAACATGGTCAGTTCTAAATGAACGGTAATGAGGTTCCTTAAAAAGTACTTTTCTTTATTAATTCCTGTTTTATCATTGTATATAGGAAAAAAGAACTTCAGTCGCAGCTTTTGCCAACGCGAGGAAAGCAGTTCCCACCCAAGTTCATTTTTCATCTGAGTGCATCTCTCACCTTTCTTGTACCGTCCCATGACGAATCTGGCCGCCTGGTTTTGAATTTTTTCAATTTTATCAATCAATGTGGCTTGCCAAGGATCCCACACGGCACAAGCGTAGTCCAGTATATGTCATATACATGTTAAATAAGGCTGTCTTTTTTATTTATTTATTTTATTTTATTTATTTTCAGATTTACTGCCAGCCTTTGGAAAAGGCCTTTAGCAGGAGCGGGCAGAACAAATAAAAGAATGCGAGAACATACACAAATACGTCCACAAAGCAACCGCAACAATGAGCGGGAACAAAATAAAAATAAAATATACAATTACGCAATCAACAAAGTGACAGCAGGTACTATCAACAACTTGTTTGGTACCAAGCCAGACCTACACTGATAGAAACAATTAATAATGTACAAGACATGACTGGAAAGAGCAGGAGAAAACTGGATTGTACAAGAGGACACTGTAATTAGTAACACCACCGAGGTGCACCGCTAAAACAAAGCAGAGTTACAATGTGACACTCTCAACAACAACAACAACAAAAAAAAAAAAACATCAGAACGACATTATTGTTTCACAATCACATATCAGTTGCAGATGTCGCGATACGAGGAAAGTGGAGTGACGACAAAGATACCGAAAAAATTACAGATAATCTGACAATGCTTTAGCAAAAGAATTTAGTGTATTACAATCAATTACATTGGATGGAAGTCGATTCCATTCACGCGTTGTTCTCGGAAAAAAAGAGTTTTTGAATGTGTCTGTTTTACAGCTAAAATCCTTTATCTTTTTCGTGTGGTGTGATCGCGTCGAGCGCTTACCTAGCCGGTCGATAAAATTACTCTTGTCTATTGCCAGCTTATCATGGTAAAGGGAGTACAAAAACTTGAGCCGTTCACGCTGACGTCTCTTTTGCAATGTATCCAGCTCTGATTCTGCCAAGATTGAAGTTACAGATACTTGCCAGCGATAGCAATTATGAACAAACCTGATGCCCTTCCTTTGAACGAGTTCTAGCTTATCAATGTTGTTTTTTGTGTAAGGATCCCATATAACTGATGCATATTCGAGGGAGGGCCTAATTAAAGTTTTGTAAGCCAGTAACTTTATTTCTTTGGTTGATTTTCGCAATGACCTTCGAAGGTATCCAAGTTTACGCATGGCTTTATTTGTAATATACGAAATGTGTTCATTCCATCTAAGGTCCGAGGTAATAATTACGCCTAAATATTTGTACCTTTCTACAACGAAAAGAGTGTGATTATCTATGGAATATGAAAAGCTTAGGGGATGCTGTTTACGCGTTATTGACATGGCTACCGTTTTAGTCTTGTTAACACTCATTTGCCACGTTGAACACCAAGTTTGTATTTTCGCTAAAGAAGAATTCAAAAGAACTTGGTCGCAGCGGCTTTGAACTTCATGATAGAGGATGCAGTCATCTGCGAATAGTCTAATTTTAACTGGTATATCCTGTACTATGTCATTAATGAACACAAGAAAGAAAAGTGGCCCAAGCACCGAACCTTGAGGTATACCGGATATAACTGTCTCTGCTGGAGAGCACGTACCATCAATTGTTACACATTGTCGTCTTAAATTTAAGTAATATTTTATCCATGACAGAAGTGTATCGTTCTTCAGTATGGGTTGAAGTTTTAAGAGCAGCTTTTGGTGCGACACGCGATCGTACGCTTTCTCAAAATCTAGAAAAATAATATCAGTTTGACCTTGCCTGTCAAGGGTTTTGGCGAGTTCATGTACTGTTTCTAATAGTTGTGTTACGGTAGATAGACCTTTTCGGAAGCCATGTTGCCTGGGGTCAATAAGTTTGTTTTCATCTAGAAATGCTGATAAGTGCTTAAACATAATATGTTCCAATATTTTTGCGCATGTACACAAGAGGGTGATAGGTCTATATGAAGTAACCAAATGTGGAGTGTTTGATTTAGGTATAGGCGTAATTTTACCGTATTTCCAGTCCTCTGGGATCTTAGATTGGGATAAGGATTTGTTAAATATAAGATGCAGATAATGTGAGCTCCATTCAGCGTACCTCACCAAGAAGTGGTTATCAATACAGTCTATTCCGGGTGTTTTCTTACGATCAATTTGAAGCAAAAAAGAAAGGACACCTTCCTGGGATATCGAAATGTTGCTTATTGGGGGAACGTTCTCGAACTGATTGACTGAAGGTGTAGTAGTGTCATCTTTCGTGAATACTGAACAGAAGAAGTCGTTAAAAGACGTTGCAATGGTGAGTCGGTCAGTGACGGTTTCCCCGTTAACTACAATGTTAGAAATTGACTT